CTCAGCTTGATATGTTGAATACATGGCAATCTGATGTCCATCCTATAACCCTGACAACTGCATTCAGAAACAAGTTTTTTCTGACTTTTGAATAGATGAGCGTTGGTATTTGTTTCCTTTGTGCCAAGTAAAGAAACTTATTAAATATCCCTTGCTGCATTTTAACTTTCTGAATATATCAGTCTTCTAGTGTTTTAACTAGATATCCTGAAAAATATTTTGCGGGAACTTTGATTCAACAAAATTTAGTTTAACTACATATTACACACACAAACCACTATGAAGAAGTCTATTCTGACCAAGGACATGAGACAGTGAACAAAGCATGAATTGACAGCAGTGTTCACAGTACTTATAAATATGTAACTATTAGATAAGGGAATAGTAGAGTAGTGATTAATGTGTAATGGATGGCAGATGTGTGGCATGTGAACAGTTCATGATTTGTATGGAGTATGGTTCCCAGAAATTAACGAACCAATCACAGAGTGCGTGATATGATGTAAAATAAAATGTGCACACGGCATTCTCTTTCGGGAATGTATATATAATTAGATTAATGATTATGTACTTTGGACTTGTGTCAACCCCCGTGCTAGCAGAGTCTGATCAACTCAGTGTAGTTTTACTGTATACCTGTAAAGAAACCTAAATGACTAGTTCAGAGTCAAGCTGAGTTGCTGGGAGGTTAAGGTATCGGAGGGGATGCCAACACTATGTTAAAAGAAAATTGAGGTTGCAAACTCAGGCTCTCAAATGGTAAGAAATGCCAGAAATAAGGTTGCCTGTTTAATCCTTAATCCTAATCTTGGGCATGTGCATTATGATACATCTTTAATTACATGATCACATAATATTTTTTTCCCACAGGACTCCTGCCTCATTCAGTCCATAGGATGGGCAGTGCTCATTTAGGGCTTGTCTACACTTGAAATGCTACAGCAGCAGCTGCACTGTTATAGCACTTCAGTGTAGACACTACCTATACCAAAGGAAGGGGTTCTGCCATCGCTGTAGTTAATCCAGCTGCCCAAGAGGCAGTAGTACTGTCTATATCGAGGGTTAGGTCAGAATACCTACGTCTCTCAGGGGTGTGGATTTTTCACATCCCTGAGAGAGACCGCTATGCCAATGTAAGTTTCCAGCGTCGAACAGCAATTCAATAGTTTTGTTTTCTCCTTGTTGTTCAGCATGTGGCCTCATGCTTTATTTGCTGCACTAACTATTCCAATCCAGTTCTGAACACAGAACATAAGAATGGCCTTACTGGGTGAAACCAATGGTCCATCTAGGCCAGTATCCTGTCTTCCAATAGCAGCCAATGCCAGGTGCTTCAAAGGGAATGAACAGAATAGGGCAATTATCAAGTGATCCATCCACTCCCAGCATCTGGCAGTCAGAGGCTCAGGGACACCAAGAGCATGGGGTTACATAAGAACATAAGCTATACATATATCCAACTATACATACAATATGATGGGGGCTAATTTAGCTACAACTAATCAGGAAAAAGATCTTGGAGTCATCGTGGATAGTTCTCTGAAGACGTTCACGCAGTGCACAGCGGCAATCAAAAAAGCAAACAGGATGTTAGGAATCATTAAAAAGGGGATAGAGAATAAGACGGAGAATATCTTATTGCCCTTATATAAATCCATGGTATGCCCACATCTTGAATACTGCGTACAGATGTTTCCTCATCTCAAAAAAGATATACTGGCATTAGAAAAGGTTCAGAGAAGGGCAACTAAAATGATTAGGGGTTCGGAACGGATCCCATATATAGAGAGATTAAAGAGGCTAGGATTTTTCAGCTTGGAAAAGAGGAGACTAAGGGGGGGGGATATGATAGAGGTATATAAAATCATGAGTGATGTGGAGAAAGTGAATAAGGAAAAGTTATTTACTTGTTCCCATAATATAAGAACTAGGGGCCACCAAATAAAATGAATGGGCAGCAGGTTTAAAACAAATAAAAGGAAATTATCTTCACACAGCGCCCAGATAACTTGTGGAACTCCTTGCCTGAGGAGATTGTGAAGGCTAGGACTATAACAGGATTTAAAAGAGAACTGGATAAATTCATGGAGGTTAAGTCCATTAATGGCTATTAGCCAGGATGGGTAAGGAATGGTGTCCCTCGCCTTTGTTTGTCAGAGGGTGGTGTTGGATATCAGGAGAGAGATCACTTGATCATTACCTGTTAGGTTCACTCCCTCTGGGGCACCTGGCATTGGCCACTGTCAGTAGACGGGATACTGGGCTGGATGGACCCTTGGTCTGACCCAGTATGGCTATTCTTATATTCTTATGTTTATTGTAGACCTGTTGCCTACTAATTTCATTGGGTGACCCCTGATTTTTTGTGTTATTTAAAGCAGTGAACAACACTTCCCTATTTACTTTATCCACACCATTCGTGATTTTATAGACCTCTATCATATTCTCTCTTCCAAGCTGAACAATCCCAGTCTTTTTAATCTCTCCTCAAAGCTTCACAAATATTATTGCATTTATTTTCATGGCAGCCCGGTGAGATAACAGAATTGTATTATCCCTGTTTTACAGATGTGAAACTGAGTCACAGAAAGATAAAGGTCAGAAGTATCCACTAATTTTGGGTGTCCAATCTGAGATGCCTAGAACCTTCTTTTTCATTATATAGCTCTTTATGTGTTCAAAGCACAACTCCTCACTGACTTCAGCTGTAGATGTGAGTGCTCAGCACTTCTGCAAATCAGGCCCTAGGGTCTCAGGACAAGCACTCAGGAAATAAGATATACACAATTACTGACCATGTGAGAAAAGTTTGATATAAATGACTTGACTAAAATCACATAAGCACTCCGGCAGAGGCAGGGAGAGAATCCATTTCACCAGGGCAGCAGTCAACTGCTTTAATCATGAGATCATTCTTTCTCTTATTGTAGTCCCCCTGGCTCATTCACTATACAGCTTCCAACTTCTGCAACAAATTAAGCAGGGGTTGAACAGCCTCCTTTCCTTCCCTCCTGTATCGTTTCTGGAGCAAGTCCATCCTGTGCACTAAGGCAGAGATCCTCTGGAAAAATAGTATATGATCACGTAATTAAAGTCTGTATGATAATATGTATGCAGAAAGGGGGCAAATTAAGGTTTTGAGTGCTTGAATTTGCATCCTCAATTTTCCTTTATTGGGCCTAATTTCCTAGGTTTTCAAAAAAAGCAAACTGAAATTCCATCATGTGGCACAATATTGACACCCAGATAATTCATCAAGAGGGTTTGTACCTTTAGATTCACTGCACAGACCTCTGGTACTTGAGCTAAAGGAGTAATTGAAAGCAATAGTAGGTTGTCGTAATCTATGTGGACCAGCACTAGAAGGATGAGGAAATGGAGCTCTTACATGGTTCATAGCCTGATAGTTAGGGAACTGGGCTAGGATACAGGAGACTCAAGTCCCTACTCAGCTTGCTTCACTGCAGTTTTTTTTTTCATCCTGGACCACTCTGAATCAGGCAGAGCAGGGACTTGAACCAAGGCATGGGGGGGACATACTGATTCCCAAATCAAAAACCTCAGGTTTCAGTCTCAAAATGTACAATTCGACACAATTCTGTTTTTTCCTTAAAAGCATTTGAAAAATTTTGTTTTAGTTCCAGTGAGGAAGGAAACCAAATTTCAAAACCTTGAAAGTTGCTGTAAAATATGTTTGCATAAACCAGTTACTGAATAACAAACATGTTAAAATCAAATCTGTGTGTATATAATTCACAAATGTAGAAACAGGCCAAATTCATTGAATAAAATGTTTGCTGTGAATAGGTCATTCATCTCTATAGACTGCCTATGGCAAACCTTCAGTAGCTGATACTTTCTATTTTGGGAGTTATAGTCTTCGTACGTGCAATTCCTGATAGTTTTTCAAGTTCCTCGCTTTGGAACTGTTGTCTGCTTGTTTGAAGGCCAAGGTCTCTCTCTCCTCCCCCCCCCCCCATAGTTGTATTTTAGGAGGCGAAGTAATCTTAGGATATATCATTTGTATTTGGTTTTAGAGTATTTTAGAATCTATAGCTAAGACACTATGCCAGTAATTCTTCTTCTTCTTCTCTTTCATGAGTTTCTAGATCTTACTAACCAGGAGCAAGTGTTTCTTGCAGAAACTGTCGTGTGTGTGTGTGTGTGTGTGTGTGTGAGAGAGAGAGAAAGAGATAGGGACACAAATGCTGAGAATCAGGGAGAGAAGGTGAAAGAAACAAATAAAAGGATGTTCAAGCGTTTGTAGAATTAAATCCTCAAAAGTAGTAGTGTTAGAGATTAGAATATTAAGGAGCTAATACAAAGAATCCAGCAGCAGCACCCTAGCCCAATATGTAATGGTGTGGCATTTGCTTGTGTTATCCAGAAAAAAAGCTTACTGTATAGCTAAATATTGATCATCTGCTACTAAAAGTTAATATTAAATGCTATTTTTGTTAAAATCTTTAGATTTATTAACTCTGGTTTAGACTGTATTTTTGGTTTAGGCGCTATAATATGAAGTAATGAGTTAGTACGCTGGTCTATATATATTATATAGATGTAATTTAATTTATGAACTCAGATTTTTAAGTTACTCAAAAAGGCAGAAGTTCAGTCACAGAAATATGTTAATACACTTAGATATCACCTTTTGCCTTTCAGTAAGAATTTTTAAGTTTGGAAAGTTGCACTTGTGGTTTAGCTCACACAAATTAATTGATAGCGGGCAAGACACACAGATCTGCATATTTCAGTACAAGCTCCTCCAGGCATTAGCACAGAAAAGGGGAGAGGGCACTAAAAGCATAATGAAATAAATGGACTGCACAGTCAATTTACTGCCCTCATTTGGAAGTATCTATAAAGGTTCAGGCAGTAAGGCATTTTTAAAGCTTGTAAAAGTTTTGCTCTTTTTCAACTCTAAGTAGCTGCACATGCTGGGATACAGAAGCACAGACAGCAAAGGTGCAGGAAAAGGGCAGCTCTCAGTTACTTACGTTGACAGCCTAAGCTGTGCCAGATATATCCCAGCAGACACTTATCACATTTAGTCCCTGATGTTCCCTCCTTACACTCACAGAATCCTGTGTCATTACAGCGATCATGGACAGAGCCAAAAGGGTTACAATTACAGTCTGCAGAAACAAGACAACACACATACGTTGGCCATAATTCAAACAATAGCAATAAAGGAAGCAATTCTAGTGTTTAAAAGTAAAGGAAGACTGTCTATTAATGACATTTGGAGGAGAGAGAATAATTACCACAGGTCCACTTTTCATTTGTTTGGTCTTTTTAAGAGCAGACCTCTGTCTGATTATGTGAGGGGGAAAACTAAACAGAAAAGATGTAGAGTAAAAAGGTAACTGATCATAATGGATATTCCATTTTAGTAAGGAGGTTTTGTATAGTTTAATGAACAGAAGGAGAGATTTGTATAGCAAGGATAAATCGATATGCCATCAGGATGAAATCTGTTTTAAATTATTAAAATAGGTGTAGCTGTATCACTCAATACTTCGAGTTCTGCTGAATATTTTTAAAGTGCTATATAAATGCACTTTACTTATTTCCAAGATAGTCTTCCCTTTATATTTAGGAGTAGTATGTTTATTTATGTAGGTACTTGCCATTGTAGTGATGAGAATTTACAATGCGCCTTTCACATATTCCAAAACAACCTTGAGGTGGGGAGCAAAATACTACAAGACTTTGTCAGTACTGACTTTTAGCTGTCATTTTCATTCTACCTCTCTTCTTCCACTCCCATGAGGGGTGGGAGGTGGATGTGAGGATGGAAGATCCAGTGAAGCACTCCAGCACCCAAATATAGATTTTTTTTTTCTCTCATGTGCCTGAACCTGACCAAAGACTGTAGTAAATTGTGGTGGTTTGGGTTGACCCCTTTATTTCCACAACCTTTATTCTAGGGTAATACAGTAACTCCTCACTTAATGTTGCAGTTATGTTTCTGAAAGTGCGACTTTAAGTGAAATGATGTTAAGTGAATCCAATTTCCCCATAAGAATGAATGTAAATGGGGGGGTTAGGTTCCAGGGAATTTTTTTTTGCCGTACAGCATTGTAGTATAGTTGGGAGGTGCCCCTGCCTTACCCCACACAAGCACAGCCCACTGGCACTGGAGACAATGAGGCAGGCAAGGAGGCTGAAGGTGCTGTAGGCTAGGAGATTCACATTGTGCAGCAGCAGCGGCAGCTTCCCCTTCTCTGCAAGCACCATGGGTGGTGGGCTCAACCGTCAGCCCGCCCACGCCACCCCTTCCCCCAAGTCCCCATCCTTAACCCGCCTCTTCTTCCCCTTTACTTCACATGCTGCGTCCTCGCTCCTAACTCCTCCCTACCCTGCCTCCTGCCCGTGGCAATCAGCTGGTTTGCGGTGTTCAGGAGGCAGGGGTGGGAGGGGGAGCCTGCGTGCCGAGTCCTAGCTCCTCTCCCCTCCCTCCTGAATGCTACAAGCCAGCTGATTGCTGCAGGAAGGAGGCAGAGAGAGGAGGGGGAAGGC